TGCCCAGGTTGTGGCCTTGAGCCCTGGTAGGGGGTGTGCAGGAGGCAGCTAATCAATGATTCTCTCTCTTCATTGATGTTTCTATCTCCCTCTCCCTTGCTCTCTGAAATCAGTACAAATACATTTTTAAAAATTTAAAAAAATTTTAAAAATAAAAAAAAATAAGTTTAAAAAGGTGTGTCCACGCCCAAACCTGGTCCTGTTTGTCCCCTTCCTCCCCAGCAGCGCCTGCTGCCAGCGGGCATGGCAGCCTGGGAAGGCTGGAGAGATGAAGGCAGCAGGAAAGGCAAAAGGCGGAGCACTGCTGAGCCCAGGCTCACGCCTGCTGTGCTGGGCGGGGCTCTGGAAGGAGACGCCCAATGCCTCCTGCAGTTCCTCCTGCCTCTAAGCTCTGAGGTTGCGGCAGGAGGGCCACCTCCCGCTGTCCCTTGGTGGGCAGAGAGCTGTGAGTGTGGCCTGTGTGAGCCATGAAGACAAGGCCTGTGCTGACTCTCCTGTTTCTATGGCCTCATGCTGAGCAGGTGGAGTCCAGGTAAGATCAAGCAGACCAGCCATCAGAGGCCCGGGCCTGTGACACCAGGGGTGCCTGAACTCCGCTGCCTTCCCGTCAGCGTGGAGGGGACAGGAGGAGGACAGGCAGGAGGACGGGAGGAGGACAGGCCTCCAGGAGGCGGCCCTGCCTGAGCTACAGGGGAGTCACCAAGGGAGCGCCATCAGCTGTTCAGCTGGGCCTGCTGCAGAGCCACGGGTGCGTGGACATTTGACCTTGAATTAGCTGCCCAAAGTCAACACTGAGGGAACCTTATCTCGGTTTCTTTGTTCATTGCCAGAAGAAGGAGGTGGGAGGTTGGTTAAGCCCCAGGGGATGAGCTGCCCTCCCTCCTGACGGGAATCACACAGGCGCTGAGGTTGCCCTGACCGTCAGGCGGCGAAGCACCCACGGGCTCCCTCAGCTGAACGCAGTGAAGGCAGGGACGCCAGAGACTGATGCTCTGCAGCTGCCCCCCTTCCTGCCCCGGGCAGCTCGGGGAGGTCAAAGGGCTATGAGTGGGCCCCGCTGGCGTGGTCAGTGGCTGAGCATCTACCCATGAACCAGGAGGTCACCGTTCGATTCCCAGGCAGGGCACATGCCCGGGTTGTGGGCTCCATCCCCAGTGTGGGGCGTGCAGGAGGCACCTGATCAATGATTCCCATCATTGATGTTTCTATCTCCCTCTCCCTTCCTCTCTGAAATCAATAAAAACGTATTTTTTAAAGAAAGGCTATGAGTGGAAGTGAAAATCTCTTCCAAGTTCGGCATTCATCCTGTGGGACCCCCCCCCCCCCTTTCTCCTGCCACTGCAATCCTGAAGGCCGCATCTACCTTATGGAGCTACAAGATGAGGGAGGGCTGTCTGACCTTCACTTTGAGCAAGAAATAAACCTTATTGTGTGAAGCCACGGGCACAGTGGGTACCTATCGCCGTGCCCTGGCCTGCCTTGTTCCAATCCAAGGCGCCTTTGAGACTCCCCTCGGGGCCCTACCTTGAGGTGCCGGTCGGAG